GAGCGCTGCCCCGGCACTTGACAGTCCCTGCGGTGCATAACCCGGGCGTTTCAGAGGCTGATTCGCAGCACGAACCTCTTGCAGTCGAAAGCAGCTCTGGAGACTGCGGAGGAGGCGAAACAAGCCTCTCTCTCCCTCGCAAGCATTTGCTTTCCCAGCGTTGCGTTATCTTAGAGTGGCCGGTGACCTCCCTTTGTCACCTGAGCCCTTTTCCTTCCCTTGGGAGCTCCAGGAGTGCAGACGGGACCCGCCGAAGCCGCGTGGTGGGTTTAGTGGCCCCTGGAGTCGCCCCCTCACTCCTGTGCTGGCCTTCTCCCCGCTCAGGGGGCTCACGTCACCATCAACGCGCGCGCAGAGGAGGACGTGGAGCCTGAGCTCATCATGGAGAAGGTTGCCAAGGCCTCCGGGGCCAACTACAACTTCCACAAGGAGAGCAGCAAGTTCCAGGACTCCGGCCCTCAAGCTCCCGTGGTGAGTTCGCTCCGTGGGGGCTTTCTGGTCCCCCCGGGCTCACAGTTGGGCAGGGGCAGAGTCTGGGACCGCTGTCACCCTGCGGCGGAAGGGGCTCCCCGTGCTTTGGCGTGGCCGCGGAAGCACCGATGATTTTGCCCGGGGCTGGTTCCTCTCTCTGGCTCGTTGCGGAGTGAATCAGGGCAAGAGCACGGGGTGGTGGCAGAGCCGAGATGTCCTTGCGGCAAGCAGAAGGCCTAAGCTCTCCTCTCCATAGGCCCAACCACGTTTTTAAGCAGGACTGATCCCCCCCAGTTCTAGTCAGGTTTTTAGAGACACAAAAGCTCCAGCTTTTCAAGTTTGCAGAGTATCTGCGAGGCCTGGGGCTTCCCCGAGGCTGCGGTGCAGCCGAGGGACAGGGGAACAAGACGCGTTGGTGCAGCGGCGTTTTGACCTGCTTGCAGACGAAAACTGAGGCTTCCTCCGGTGCTGTGACGTGTCGAGGCCAGAGATCTCAGCAACGTCCTTTCTGTCTGTGTGGAAATGTTCTGTAGGAAGGTGGTTTTTTCAACACATACACCAAGCAAGTGAGGTTCCTCAGCTGTACAAAGGAGAAGCTCAGCTGCACGTGCTCTCCGACTCTGAATCGCTTGACCCTGCTCCGAGACGTGGGCGAAGAGCAAACCTGAGCTGTGCAAGACCCTCGCTCTCCCCCTGGCCCCGCTTTGGTGTGGCAGTGCCAGGTTCCCATGTGTCCCGGTCACTTCTTTGCTGGCTGCTCCAGCCTGGGCTCCGCAGTGTTTCAGCAACCTGGTTTTCGCTTGAGGCAAGAGGAAAACCAGGCTGGAAGTCCCCGTTTTTGGCAACGTGCGCATCGTTGGGCTTCAGCCAGCCCTTCTTTAAAGTCTAGGGCAAAGCATCAAGTTACGGTAACTTCTAAAAAGTCCCAGAGTGTGCTGAACGGGGGACCATACTTGTTTTGCTGTTGTATTCTATCGCAAAGTGTCTCTTTTTTTTTATTCTTCACGCTAAATATCTTCCGTTGACCCCCTCAACCCAGCCTGCTGGCCCGTGGCTGTGTGTGGGGCTGGGTGCCCTCTTTGCCAGGGGAAGGCAAAGAGGGTCTGGCTGGTCCCCTGGCAGCAGGAGAAAGCTGCCAGAAAGCTGCGGGGACAAATTTCCGCGGAGGAATGCAAAAATTGTGATGGCTCAGTGACTGCCGCTCACACGTGCTGCCTTCTGCCTCCCCCCAGGGCTCTGTCTACCAGAAGACGAATGCAATGTCCGAAATCAAGAGAGTCAATAAAGATAATTTCTGGGCCAAAGCTGAGGTGAGTGCTGCCGCTTCTCTTCAGCAGCCGGGCACGAGTAGGACGAGGCATTTGGATGTAGCTGGACATTGTAGAAGGGCAACGAGGCTGGTGAGGGGTCTGGAGAACAAGTCTGATGAGGAGCGGCTGAGGGAGCTGGGGTTGTTCAGCCTGGAGAAAAGGAGGCTGAGGGGAGACCTCATCGTTCTCTACAACCACCTGAAAGGAGGCTGTAGCGAGGGGGGGGTCGGTCTCTTCTCCCAAGGAACTGGTGAAAGGACGAGAGGAAACGGCCTCAAGTTGTGCCAGGGGAGGTTTAGATTGGACGTGAGGAAAAATGTCTTTACTGAAAGAGTGGTTAAACCTTGGACCAGGCTGCCCAGGGAAGTGGTGGAGTCACCATCCCTGGAGGTATTTAAAAGACGTGTAGATGAGGCGCTGAGGGACATGGTTTAGTGGGCATGGGGGTGTGGGGTTGACGGTTGGACTCGATGATCTTGGAGGTCTCTTCCAACCTTCATGATTCTATGATTCTATGATTTCTCTTCGTCTGCATCTTCCCTCTCTAACCTGGGCTCTCCTGCCCGGAGTCAGGGATCCAGACCTCTGGCAAAGGGGGGGGGGTGACGGACGGGCCGGAAGGTCGGAAAGCAGCGCAGAGCTGGGCTGGCCGCAGAGGTCCTGCTGCCTCGAGGTGCAAGGGGAGGAGGAAATTAGTCTTGAAGGGCAAGATGCTTTTTATCTCGTCCTAATTTGGCTCCGGGCTGCTGGGGCGGGCGCAGGGGGAGAGGGCTGGGCTGCAGCCCGGCCCCCCGAGGATGGCAAACTCCACTGGGGTGAGGGGGCTGGTTTTTGACCTTCGTGAAGGCAGCTCTCCAAGGCTGAACGGCAGGGCAAGCCTGCTCTGGATTTGCTTCCCATTCAGGTTGCTTTACACCGGGGTTTTTACAGTGGTTTAGCATTAGTGGGTGAACCTTGAGGCCGCGGAAGCGTTACGGGTGCCGCACGCCTTGGGAGCTGCCAGGAGATCCACCATGCTGGCTGGTGGCGCAGCGTGGTGTGCAAAGAGCTGGGGGGTTTCTCAGAGCTGGCAGGATTAAACCCACGACTTGTTGCACGTCTCCCATTAGAAAGATGAAGAAAACCGCCGGCTGGAGGAGAAGAGGAGAGCGGAGGAGGAGCGGCAGCGGCTAGAGAGAGAACGGCGGGGGGGGGGGGGGCGCGGA